TCTTCGACTGACAACTGATTTTGGCAGATTCGATGATATTTCAAAAAAAGAACATGTCGGTAATGATTCGTCAAGTATTTTCGTTGGAGTTCTCGCTTCATCTTGGCCCAACTAGTAATTTTACTACATCCTTCCCGATTCCTGGTTCTTTTGACATTCTCCCACCAGAGGGATGCGCTTTTCTTGAGCTTGATTGCAACTAATTTAACGATACGATCATGGGGTATTTCTTTGAATTCGATCACGTGCTCCACCGTGTGAAGCCAGTTCAAGAATTCGTCAGGATCCAGCCGACCAGCAAACTCCGAAAGGTCAATTTTGACTCCACAATCATCGCGCGAGCCTTTTCGAACTGGATCTTGATGTCTCCTAATCACCTCATCGTCACTAGAGCGATCTTGGTGAAAAGGATTGAATTCCTCATCATCTTCTTGCCGTTCAGCGGTATCTTTTTTGTTTAAATAAGGCTAATCGTTGTTGCAGCTATTGGATTTCTCGTTGAAGATCTTCAATGAGGATTGCTTGTACTGATTTTTGTGGATTTTTCCTAGGCGGCATCTTGCTAAGCTCTGATACCACCTCTGACCCAGCTTGCCGAGCAGATCACACAAACGGCACACCTACCTTGCTTGACCGGAGAAGTGGGCTTTCGCTTCCTTGTCAGGAGGCACGGAAGAGAGTAGATCACCACCTGATTCAAAAGGATCCAGGATACAGAAAACAAATTCTCATACGAACAGGAAAATTAAAAAGGATCTAACTTCTCTGTCTCTATTCCAACAATAGACTAGTATATATATACATGACCAAGGGCCGAAACAGAGCAAGCTACAGGAAGAAATTGAACAAAGCAATCTATAAGAAATACATGTATGTGACGCTCCGGCGTCAATTGCTTTCAAAAATAATATTGAAGTTTGCTATATGATAGTGGCATTTGGTATTTGTGAAGGAATGTGGTAAGAATGATTTTTTGAAAACTAAATTATTAAGTGAAAAAAAAATTGTATTGTGACAACTAGGTTGCTATAAGTATTGCAAAAACTAAGACAGGACTTAACTTATTAAGAGATAGTAACACTTCTGCATAGAAAAATTTAAAAAATGGACTAGTCCTTCAAAAATATGTTTTAACAACTCCCAAATTGTAATTATCCTAACCAAGGTTTTTCTAGAATGACGTTTCATAATCTTATCAATCAGTTTAACATGATCAACATATATAATCCAATTTGCTGAGTATTATTGATATAATCCTAAATTTATGGCCAACATTCTTCCATCTACAATGATAAAAAATCTATTGATAATTACTTTTCATCTACAATGTTCACTGGGCAATAGCTTTTCATCTACAACATTTGAACAATATGTGGATACTAACTTTCTATCTACAACAATCCAACAATTTGTGATCTTTATCTACAACCATCCAAGAAGTTTTGAATTGCAACATTCCATTTCTATTCTATTGTTAACTATAAATTCCATAATTGAAGCTAGTTTTCAAATCTGTTTCCTTTTTGAGATAGCTGTTTGTCAATTTATTTATACACAACTTTTTATTTTCTTAACACACCAAGTGAATAAAACTGTCATAAAATTTTTTATTTTGTACTCTCATCTCTTAGCATTATAAGTTTCATGAATTTCAAAAATACCATTTGTTGCTATTTGAAAGTATGAAAGAAAGTAACGGTTTAATAGAAGGAAAACCTTTATGAGAGGAAGGGGATAGTTTTTTTAAGTTGGCCTAGAAATCTGAAAGTACAATTAACTTATAGCTTATTTTCTATTGTAGCTATCTTCTAGTTGTTTATAAGGCATTCATTTAACGTCCACATTCAACCCATATTATTTTTTATGGCCGCTTTTGCCTATATCTCATGTATTACGAGAGGAAAATTTAGGGTTCGGATCAACCTGTTTGTTGTACAGGTCAGGTTCGGGTTCAAAATTCTGACTCGTTTAAAAATTGGGTCGAATTCAGGTTGACCCAACAACATGAAATCAACCCGATTTTGAACTGTCTGCGTAAGCTGGTAAGCCCTCCGTGTTCCGTGGTCCGCATTTCCCCTTCGCACCTCGACTCGCTCGAGTGCAATTCGACCCCGCCAGCAGCCCGGCATGCTGGCACTGGCGCTTGGCCGGTGAACTCCCCCGGACGTCTAAACTCGGGAGAGAACCTAATCCACCCTAAAGTAGCTAATTGCATTCCTGCAGACGACATCTTCCTTATGCTTGAATTTTCTCAATAAAGATAAATGCAACAGCCTACTTTTTGCCCTCCTGGATCATTTCTTTCAAACATTCCTCCCTCCTCAATCTTCTTATCTGAATTAATTGAAAACCTATGGCGGCAAGCTTATCTTCTTTGAGCAGCGACGCCTTTGGTGCGCTAAGAGGAATAAATTGAGTAAGAGAAGTTGGTGAGTGTGTCCAACATTTCTTTCTTTATGTTTCCTCAAAAGATGTTGCCAATATTGCATATTTTTCATCTTAGTTTCTCTTCAGGTCTGGGATCTTTCACCCGTCAAGCACGTTGCTGAAGAGCGATCAGATGGCTTGAAGAATTGTGTGGGATTAGTTGCAAAAAAGCAAGAAAAATCTCCATAAGAGAAATTGATTTGCCCCTCACGTCTCAACCCGTCAAATGCTCAAGCACTCGCCCATTGTTTTATTCAAATGGGTCCACGGGTTGGGTCGGATGAACTTGATAACCCGTACGGGTCGGGTCTGGATTGAAATACCTGACCCGTTTGCAAAAATGGGTTGCGTTTGGGTTGACCCGTTTACACCTAGGTCGGTCGAACTCGACCTGTTGACCCGAATTGACACCCCTATCATTTTATTGTTTTCTCTTATAAATACTTGCCTTCTTTCTTTTTCACTATTTTGCTATTTAATTATGTATGTAATGGCCTTGTTACAAAAAAGATGCTTTTCAAGCATTTCTTTCTTTGTGCCTCTTGACATTTTTAAAATTAGTAGTCATAGGTGACAATTTCTGATGGAGACATCAGAGCTTGGAAGGTCTATCAGAGATGTGGCCGTTGATCTACAACCACAATTGAGTCGATGTATTTTTGAGTCGTATTATATTTGTCTTTTATTATTTTATGCATGTCTTTGCTTTTGTTATTTTTCAGTTTTACCCCTTGAGGGAGGTCATGTGTTTACCCAAAGGGCTTTGTCGTCTCTTATTTTTGAGTCATTTGTATGAGGCTATATATAGCCCTTATGTTTTCTTTTCATGCTTAATGAATAGATGATAAAAATTCCCCTCATGTTTGAGGTCTTGTGAGAGCTTGAGAGAGCTTGGAGTGAAGTCTCGTGTAGAGGGAAACATATCACCCACTAACCTTGGAAGTGTCCGGATTCGTGGTTCTTTTTCTCTCTCTCTTTTCCTTTTCCCTTAATCCCCTAGCCGCCGGCCTAAGGTCCTTCCAAACTCCTAAGCCGCCGACCACCTAACTTCTCCCCGCACACCACCCGTCGACTAGATCCAATACCCACCACCATCCACGACCAACTTCCACACCGCCGGCCCGTCCCCTTGGCTTCCTCCCATCTCCACTTGCCATCAAGTCTTTCCTAAGTTTGATTTCATATTTTTGGTAACTCTATTAATGATCAAATTCAAATCTATTTGAATTTGAAATAGCTACATAATTTATAATCCTATTTTACGAAACTTACTAATTCATAACCTATTTAAATTTGGAATTAAATTGGGATGCAATCTTTCATTCCAAATTTAACTTATTAATTTAGAAAAGCATTGAATGCTTCATTAAACCCCTCCCTCTCTCTATTGCCGGTGGCCCCCTATGGAATAGCATTAGGAATTATTTCCAAATCCCAACTTACTCTCTTGGCCGAAATCCCCCACCTATTTAATTTCTTTCCAAGAGAGAGTCTCCCCTATTGGAATTAAAATAAATCCCTTCCCCTCTCTCTTGCCCGCTGCCCCTTCTCTCTCTTCCCCTTCATTAATTCCTTGCAATCAAAGGATTAATTGAGTTGTTTGAACTAAATTTTCCTCCACGAAAACTGAGCCCAAAGTCTTCCCATTGCCTCCTTCATTGGCCGGCCATCTCCCCCTTCTCCACTTCAACTTTTGAGAGGAACTTCATTCTCTCTAGTGGAGTCTTCAAGGGAGCAACAACGGTCGTCGGCTACACATCAATCTTCGAAAGCCAATGAATAGCTGATCCAAAGCTTGACTACGGAATCGCTTACGGCGAGCAAGGGAATGTCAACTTCCTCCACTCCACCTTCTTTGACTTCAATCCGGAAATCGATAATTATGTTGAAGAGTACGTGGACCGCATCATCTTCACACTTTCAGAAGGCATCGACGAACAACTCGCCAATGTCCAATGGAAAATTGTTTCCGGACAACCACAAGGGTGAACTTCTTCTCCTTTTCACTTATTTTCCCGACCCACTAATCTTGTAGGTGGTGATCAATTCACAAGGAATCGTGCTTGCCCTCAGCCTCCGATTAGTAAACGTAGAATTTGAGTGTACTATCTATGTTGTTTATCTCATTGTTAGATTAGGGATTTTGTTGAATGATTACTCAATTCGCATGTTGTTGAAATTCTAAGTTGTTTTGATAATTCAAGTGCTTAGAATGTGATTTGGCCTAAGCGTAGTGGCCCCTTTTACGTTTTCTATTTTCGTTTAGTAGCTAATAGTTTTAATTATTATTTGTTCCTTTCAAATTGTGCAAGTTTTTATTGCATTCATCTCAAAGCATATTTAGTACTGCATCAATTTCTGTTAGGGATATTTTGCAGTGTTGAAGTGGTCTCTGTTAGGAATTATTGTTCAATGAAGAAATATGCATGTAAATCCAAACATATTTGTAGTTTAAATCTTTGTTATTCTCGTATGGTTCTGAAAACAAATATATGAATAGTTTCGAATTCTCATTCAAAATTTACTGATTAAGCACCGTTCCTTGTCTTTGATTTTTGAATCATTCTTAACAGGGTTTTGATGTAAAGGTAATTGATGTCAATCGGACATGTAAAGTCACGAAGGTAGGTGCCTATTCTGTTTACATGTGACACTTTTTCATGTAATTTAGTTTGTTATGTAAATAAGTTTAACCTCTTTCCAAGTTCAGGGAGGTCAAATTGTAAAGTATATGGCACTGCTAGCTACAGGGAACTTCCATGGGGTCATTGGTTTTGCAAAAGCTAAAGGTCCAACTGCTAAAATCGCCATTCAGAAGGTATGCACTTAAACATGTTTGGAGCTTTTTTTAAGTAAGGCATCTTGAAGTGCATGTTGATTGAACATTGTTTGTTATTCCTTGATGAAGTGCATTCATCATTATTATTTCCTCCATCCTAACTATTTGGGAACAACTTTATAATCCTTACCTATTCTTTCGTATGCTATTATATTTAAATGCTTTCTCTGTTTGGTGCAAGTCCTTTTTGCATAATTTCTAGCTATGCTACTTCTGGTCTTTCTTTTCCTTTTTTATCTCTACATATGAATTCTATCTAATTGCTTTATTGGTGCATTTTGGACATTTTTGTACATTTTCTTATCACTTGAGTTTATTTTTACTAATATTTTAATGATATGCCACCATGATTTCTCTCTAAGATACTCGTTCCTTTCTACGTCATTTCTAAATTTATCATATATCTATCTGATATTGTTATTTTTGCCACAATTGGACTTTTAATAGCTTTTTAGTTGCCCAATACTTGATCTATATAGCTTTCCATGTCTTATTTTATTCTATACATGATATATTTTTATGCCATAATACATCTATTTATTCATTTTAATCACCTTTAATTTTAAAACCGACTTCTATTCTATTTCTTATTTTTTTTACACGATAAATCCAACTCATTAAAGCTATTGCACCTATTTATTACATTCTTATTTTTGCTGTGCATAACTTGGCTATTGTTGAATTTGTTGTCATATAACATTTCAATTCTTATTGAATTCTATAAACGATATTTTTTATCTCATAAGCATTTAAAGCTCTTCTTTATTTTAATCACTCAATTTTAACTTTATAAAGTAGGTCTTCTAATCTATGTCCATGCATCACTTCTACACACCCATGCATCACTTCGTAAAATATTTCTCACATTTAGTGATAATTATAAACTATTCACATTTAGTAAAATGACATTAAAGTGGATATCCATTCAGCTAACCCTAAGCTTACATCTTTTAAAATATTTCTCAATTCTAATTTTTCACTAGTTTTGTTTGAAGCAAAATGAAGTGCGTGCTTTAGAACTGAAGATTTGAAGCACAAGTGTTTTATTTTGCCAAAAGCTTGAAAATAGCTAAAGCATAATTTTAAGTGGCAACGTGCACACTTCTCTTCTAAAGCACAAGGAGTTCACAACATACGCTTCAAGCATACAAGCTATTTTCATGTTGCTATTCTGTAACATTTTGTGATTTGTTTGTTTGTTTTTTTTTTCTTATTATTGTTTTTTTACGTTTTTCTTAAAACTGTGGCCCTCGATGACTCGGTTAGGAAAGTAGATGCATTAGATATGACTTATGTTAAGCTAGATAGAGGTAGACTTAAAATGACTTGGTTAGAAAATATTATAAATGACATTTCTTTATTAGATTTAGATGAGAATTTGACTCTTAACAGGACACAATGGACAAAAAAGATTCATGTAGCTGACCCCACATAGTGGGATATAAGCTTCTTCTTTTTCTTGTTGTTGTTATAGTTTTTACTTTTTTTCAGCTATAGTTTAATCATATATTGATTAAATATTTATGTTCTCCATTTATTTTATGTTCAAATCATTAAAGATATGTATGCTGGAGCTATTACTTGTGTTCAAATACAAGGTAGTTTGACCAAGTATTTTCCTATTTCGGTTGAATTACATCGACGGTCAACCTTAAGCCCATATCTTTTTGCTTTAGTCATGGATGTTCTCACTAAACATTTGCAATAGGATGTACCTTGGTGTATGCTTTTTGCTTATGATATTCTTCTTCTTGATAAGACTAGAGAGGGAGTTGAACGTAAACTTGAATTATGGAGGTCAACCTTAGAGTCTAAAGGTTTTCATTTGAGTAGATCTAAAACTGAATATATGGAGTGAAATTTTAGTAGTAATAGACCTAATGAAGGGATTGTGACTTTGGGCAATCAAGTCATTAATAAGAGTACAAGTTTTAGATATCTTGAATCTATTGTTCAGAGTGATGGTGAAATATATCTGGATATTATCAGCATAATTCAAGTTGGATGGTTGAAGTGGAGGAATGCATCGGGCTGGTTGTGCGATAGAAAAGCCCCCCTCAAACTTAAGGAAAAATTCTATAAGATGGTGGTGAGACCTACGATGCTTTATGGTGCCGAATGTTGGCCATTAAAAGGGAAGCATAATACTAAATTAAGTGTGGCAGAGATGAGGATGTTTGGGTGGATGAGCGGCTTTACCCTTAGAGATAGGATACAAAATGAGCATATACGTGAAAAGGTTGGAGTAGCTCCAGTGGAACATAAAATTAGAGAGAGTCGCCTTAGATGGTTTGGTCACATTAAACGGAGGCCTTCCGATGACCCGGTTAGGAAAGTTGAGGTATTAGATTTGACTTATATTAAGAAAGGTAGAGGTTGACCTAAAAAGACTTGGTTAGAAAATATTAGAAATGATTTTTCTTTATTAAATCTAAATGAGGATTTGACTTTTAATAGGACACAATGGTGAAAAAGGATTCATGTAGCCGACTCCACGTAGTGATACAAAGGCTTGATGATGTTGTTATTGTTATTATTGAAATTTTGATTTCTCAATTTCTGTTGCTTGTAAAGTACTGTATTTTGACATGTTCTTTATTATAGAATAATATTTTTTGATGCTATGTTTAAATATTCAAGTGCTATTTTTAGAAAATTTAATCTTAATGTTGTTCATTACTTTTATCTTGATAATAGTCATAAACTACTGAATTTAGGTAATTATAGAGGAATCTTATTTGTCATATAATGAAGTTATGCAAGAGATTTATAAAGATCTACTTTGAAAGAAAGTTTTATGTTAAGGCAATTCATGAAAATATATAGAGAGCATAAAAAGGATCTTCATATGATTTTTATTTATCTTAAGAAACGACTATGATATTTCATTTGATGCGCATTAATGAAGAAATTTTTATGCTGAAGGTATGTTAAAGATAATAAAAACATGTATAAGGGGGTCATACTATTTTAAGTAGTTGTAGAGTGACCATTTTTTTAAAAAAATTATAATAGAATTATGACAAGGAATATTATTGAGTGCATTTTTCTTTTTGTATTTGTTATGCGGATGTTTCTTAAGGATATTCGAAGTGACATACGTTGATGAATGCTTTGCAAATGACATATTCTTACTCGGTAAGACACTCGTTTAAAAAGTGAAAAGTTGTAGTAATAGAGAAAATGCTTAGAACATAGTGGGGTTAGAATTTGTAGTGTAGAAATCAGGTATATGATATATAATTTTAGTGGGCATGCTAAGAACAATTATTCACTATTATTATTAGAAGATAAACTGAAACTTGTGAGATAGCTTTATACATCATAGAGTTAATATAAAGAAGAATGAGTTATAAATGGGAATATAGCTTCTGGAGTTAAATTTGGGAGGTTAAAATAGACATGTGTTCTTAAAGTGTTATAAGAAGATATTATAGAAATTTGTAGCTAAATTTTATAAAATTGTCATTAGACCAACGATGTTATATGGATTTGAGCATTGCCGAATAAAAGATTAATTGATAGTTAAGCATGATATTAATGAGAATGTTATGATGAATGTGTGGAGAAACTAGGAATGATTGATGAATTGATGATTATATTAAAATAATGATTTTAGTGGCTTATAAGAAAAATACTTTAATTGAATGGAAATTATTCGAAATGATTTTGAAGACTACAACATGCAATAAAAATAATTTGAAAATGAGAAATCGTTGTCAATAAAAAAAAAGCACTTAATGTTTTTATTGAAGCAATTATGAGGAGTGAATACAATAAACAAATCATTATAATAAAGAGATAAAGTGTTATACAAAGATATCAAGATTTATGTGATTTGACTAAAGCACACTTATGCCAGCAAGAGAGAAAATAGAATCTAATCTAGTATAGAGAAGCCATAGGTTTATGCATAAAAAGAATATAAAAAGGTCTTATCCAAACCTATAGTCTACCTACTCTCACAAAAAAGGGGCAAATCTCTCATGTCAAAGAAAGAATAATTCAAATGGAATAATAAATGAACAAGATTTAACTACATATCTTAAATAACCCTCTAAAAAGTTTCTATAAAGGATAACTTATGGCATTCTTAAGAATTCATTGCAAAATTTCTAGTTTGTTGACCTATTTTATAAGATAAAAAAGATAAAATCTCATATAGCCCCTCTCTCCACGTTGAGCTTAGTATGTCACCCCTTTGTATCTATCTCTCGATCTCCCTCACTCTCTGACCATCACTTCCTCTAATCATCTCTCTTACGCACCATATCGTCGACCTCTCCACCCTCTCTTTCACATGTTCTCTCTCTCTCTCTCTCTCTCTCTCTCTCTCCTCTCTATTTCTCTCCCTTTTCCCTTTCTTTATCTTTTCTCTTTCTTTCTCTCTTTATCTTTCCATCTCTCTTCTCCCTCTCTTTCTCTCTCCCCTTTTCCTCTAAAGAGGTAAAGTCAGAGAAAAAAATTAATTACTTTTGCATATTTGCCTTACAAATTTCATTGCCTCTTCATTTCCTCATCATCATATTCCCTGGAGGTATAAATTTGATGATCCTCAAAATCTCAAGCGGGACGTGTTCGACTTGACAAGCAGAACCCATAAAATGGATAAACTGAGTATATGCAAATTGTAAAAAAAAAAAAAAAAGAAGGTATGTGAATAAATGAATATTGAATGAACTCATTGGGCATATACAACAAATTTGAAAATTTTCCAGTGCAAGGATAGAACTCCATAACTTCAACTGAACACACATGACTATGTAGTGTGATGCTAATGAGAGCTTAAATGAAGTGAATGAGCTTCCTCCATTTGTAACAAGAATATTGATGTCATGTGGGGTCCATCCAGGTGAAGTACAAGTTGCACATATAAATTCTATTCAGGTGAAGTACAAGTTGCGCATATAAATTCTATTCATTTGAGAATACATACAAAAGATTCCAACCCATGATATTCGCAACTGGGTCTGGAATAT